TGGGCAGCAGTTGCAGTGTGGGGCATTGGGTCTTTGTGATTTGTATACCTCCTGTCTTAGACCCCTCCCAGAGTCTAGTGTTTGGGGATGTTGTGTGTGTGGTAAGAGAGGCCGTGCAGGACCGGGAGGGAAGACCAAGCACGTCGGGCTTGTGTGAGAGCTCCGTGCCTCTTTTACAGCAGGACAGGTAAGGCTTGCACAGCCTGCCTGAAGAGCAACCTAGATGCTCTATGAACAAAGTCATTTTTCCCATACATCATGTCTGGGAGCATATTAGGGTATGCTGTAGTTTATGAGCATGGTGGAATGTCATTCATAGCTGGCTTCTCTCTAGGAGACTCAGAGGGGAAACATTCCTGTAAATTTAGGACAGAATCGGCCTTTCTGTGTGTGGTGGGAGCCATAAAGAATAGAGTGATAAATAAAACTCATTACTTAAACAAATAGCAAACCCTCAAAAAGACAAAACCCTGCAAGCCAGGAAAATGTATTTGTAGTTCATACTCTTGATTAAGGGTCAGTTAATAGAAAAAAAACAAAAACAAAAACAAAAAAACCCCACTACGAATCAGCTAAGAAAAGAGCAAGTACTCTGAGGAAGATAGCTGAGAGCCACACTTGTGAAGCAGGCCTGTTGTGTGGGAACTGGAGAGGTTGAGCCAGGAGGATCAAGAGTTCAAGGTCATCCTGAATACCTCAACAAAAATGGTTAAAGGATCCAAACAATCCATGCAAAGAAATTAGTGGTTCCTAAGTATAGCAGAAGGAGGTTGGCAGTGGACATATTAAAAAAAAAAATACTCCCCCTCCCCAACTTTTATGTAAGTAGATCTGACAGGCTGACTCAGCAGGTAAATGTTTGCCACCAAGCCTGATGACCTGAGTTGTTCAGTCTTCCGGGAGCCACGTGATGGAAGGAGAGAACTGACTCCCATGAGTTGTCTTCTGACCTCCACACGAAAGCCACGGATAAACATGATTAAAGCAAGTCACTTACGCAGACTTGCTTTACTTCCCTGGAAAAAATGTGGGAACTTACCATGGTAGGAAATATTCGGAAGACAGCTCAGCTGTCAACTGTACAACTGTCTGCAGAGGGTACATATCTGTCATGATTAATAGCTCACCTGGCCCCATGAACACACAATTTCTACTTGTAGATATTCATTTCTCAGGTGTACTCGTGAGGGTAGTCACTGGGCGCTGTTGGTAAGAAGAGTGCGTGTCTCGTGAAATGGGCAGAGTACATCTTCATGGCAGAGTAGTAATGCAGTTGCAAAACAGGGCAACTTTCTCTGGCCGTGGGTAGCTTTGTGCAGGCTACACTGTTAAGTGTCAGGAACGAGGCACAGGAAGACCATTTGCAGGAAAGATCTTAAATAAACGCGTATCTGCTTGCACATGCACGGAGAGCCTCAAGAAGGACCCAAGAAGAAGAGTGCTAAAATCTAGAGGGCTGGGGTAGGGGGGAGTTTTCATTTTGTACTCATATTTGTCACATTTCCAAGTGGGTTAAATAAAAAATATTTTTATTATTAAAAACCGAGGTGTGTAGGAGGGAGCTGGAGAGATGTTAAGAGGGTGTGGCTCTCCCGTCTTACGATGCACTTGCTGTTCTTACGGGGACCTGGGATTCTGTTCCAGACACTCACGTGGTGGCTGGTGGCTGTCCGTAACTCCAGTTCCGGGGGATCTGATGCTTTCTGAGCTCTGCAGGAGTTAGACACGCACATTGTGCACACACATGCTTGCAGGCAAAACACTCGTCCATTAAGTAAACAAGTCTGCTGAATCTGCTTTTAAAAGCGCGTGTATGGGTGTGTGCGCAAGCATGCTCAGGCCTGTGTGTGCGTGCGGGTGCCTGTAGAGGAGAGTGGCATCACATCCTCCTTGAACCCGGGGTCAAAGGCAGCTGCGAGTTCCCCTGCGTGGGTTCTGGGAACTGGACTCCGGTCCTCTGCAAGAGCAGTGTGGGCTTCTGTCTGCTGAGCCATCTCACCATCCCCTAAATGTGGTAAATTAGAGACTGTAAAAAGACAGCAAAGAGTAGCTGGGACGGGGCGGTGGACGTGGTGCTTTCCCAGGGCTGTACTGTCTTCCAGTGTCCAGTGTCTCTCCTGCGCTACAGCTTTCACTGCTGAGGGGAACCAAGGCTCAACCTTCGGACAGCTCTTGGGTAGTCTGGGGACACAGGACTAATGGACCACATAATCAGAGGCTACAGGTGGGTCATGTGATCACCCATGGGGGCCGGGGGGCAGGTCATGTGATCACCTATCTAGGGACTGGCCCAGCTGGAAAGTATCAGTTCCACACCCATCAGTGGACCACTGTATTCAAAAAATTAACTTTTATTTTCCTTTGTTAAAGCAGACTGGCCTAAGTCTGGGCGTGGAGCATGACTTTAATTCCAGGACTTAGGGAGACAGAGGCAGGTGGATCGCTGTGAGTTTGAGGCCAGCCTGGTCTGTGTGGTATGTAATTTGTAGTATGGACTTTACGTAATATTATTTTATATAATATGTAATTGGTAATGTGATGAGGGCAACCGTGAGTTTCTGGTTCTCCTGCCTCTTTTCTAAGTGCTGTGGTGACTGGCCTGACCACCATATCTGTCTTCATACATGGCCTCTCTGGCTCTGGAGGTAGGTAAGAGGGACATTGTTTTACTGTTGTGGTTACTTGTAAGTCGCCCATGCTCTTATAAAGAACCTATCACTTATGCTCCTGTAGGGTAACTATAGGTTAGGGAAAAAAAAAAATCTCAGGCAGGTTTTCATTCCTGAACCATATGAATCCATTTACTTAGTTGGAAAAAGCCTTTCTTTATAGGATGTGCCTATGTTAAGAAACTTAATTTGTTTCCTTTTCTTTTTTTTCTTTGAGATGAGGTCTCACCGTGTAGCTCTGGCTGGCTTGAAACTTGCTCTGCAGACCCAGGCTGGCCTAGAACTCAGAGATCTACCTGTCTCTGCTTTCTAAGTGCTGAGATCAAAGGCGTACATCACCATGCCTGGCCAAAAACCCCTGATTTTTTAAAAAAGTACAAATGATTACTGTACTTTGTGTGAGTGTGAAGGTGCTGTGTACATGGGCCAGGATAAGGAAGAGCCAGAGCATAAAAACAGTCATAGCAAAGCAAAACCAAAATCCAGCAGTGTAAATTAAAATCCTGGAACTCAGTGCCTGGCCTCTTTGAGGCTTGTAATCTTTTGGGCAGCCCTGCCTCTCCACCTCTGCCATCCACAGCACCCAAAGTCTGTCTCTTAGGCCATCTCCATCCTATATCTGTAGCTGTCCTAGGTGGATGTCCTATGGTCTTGGCATCCCCATAGCAGCTAGAGATTCATCTTTATCAGTAGCCCCTCAGGCCCTCACTGAAAGACTCTGGCCCTGTCTTGAGTCAAGCCTCAGCTGCTCTCTCTGAGCCCTCCTTCAAAGCCAGAAATACACGTGACTGTTACGTCATCAAATTCAGCTCAAGGTGTAGTCTGACTCCCTTGGACCAGTTGTATGAGCCTTGGTGGGCTGACCTCAGGAAATAATTCTCTCTTGTTCTGATGAAGCATAGAAGGTTTCACTTCAGTGATGATGAGCTCTTGTTAACGGTAGCTGATTCTTCTGTCAGCCCTAGCCTGATCAGCATCAGTTCTAGGTCACAGTCCATCAGGTGGGTCACAGCAGCAGGAGCTCAAGGAGCAAGTCACAGTCACGTTTCATGTGCAGAGGTCTGAGGATAACTTTCTAAAGTAGTAGGTCCCGGGGATCAAACTCAGGTTGGCAGGCTTTGGCAGAAGTTGTCTGTATCTGCTGAGCCATCTTACTGGCCCTATTCTGGGCTATCCAGATGTGTCCTTGAAAGCCAGCAAGCTTTTCTGACTGCACAGGAGAAATGACCTCAGGCCTTGTGGCACCTGTGGACACTTAGATTTTTTCAGCTTGGAGAGCCCCATGTCCAACGGTGACTTAGTGCGAAAAGGAATCTCTGCTGTTCAAGTCGCTAAGTTGGGTGAGACTGGTCTACAGCAACATTATGGGGATACTGGTGTTTCTCATTCTTCATCTCCCCTTGAGGGCTAATGAGAACACTGCTCAGCATATGGTACCTAATTGGTTTCTCTTTTCATTTTTAAAGACGTACTTATTTTTATTGTGTGTGTGTGCCATAGTGTGTGACTGGTGCTGGAGAAGGTTATCAGATCCCCTGGAACTGGAGATACAGACAGTTGTGAGCTGCCATCCTGGTTCTGGGAATTGAACCTGGGTCTCCCGGAAGAGCAGCCAGTGCTCTTAACCACTGAGCTAACTCTCCAGCCTCGTGTTCTTGCTTTGACACAGGGTCTTACGTGGCCCAGGCTGGCCTTAACTTTGTAACAAAGGGTGTCCTTGAACTCCACCTCTTCTTGCCTCCATCTCCCACATTCCGGGATGGCAAGGATGGGCTGCTGTGCCCATCTCCTGACTTAATTTTTGCAACGGGTCTCACAGTGGAGACCAAGCTGGCCTTGAGTTCATATACTTACAGAGACCTGCTTGCCTCTGCTGGGGTTAAAGTCGTGTGCCACCTGCCTGGATTGACCGCTTTTTTTTTTTTTTTTAATGGGGAAGAACAGTTAACATGAGATTAATCCTTTTAAGCCTTTTAGCCTAGGAACCATATTGTGAACAATGAAGTGTACTTGATGTTAGCAGGATCTCTGACCTGATGTCTTTCGCCCAGGGCTGTTGCTCACCTTTACCAGAAACACTTTCTGTGTCAGGCATTTGAGCCTCTCACTTTGCATAGCTGTTTAGCCAGTGGAGGAGGCCTCTGAGGAGCTGCTGTGGAGTGGGAAGAACATTCAGAGGAATAGGACAATTGCCAGCAAAGAGTTAAGCCATTAGGCATCAGACAAATGAAAGCAGTGTGCCTGAGGTTGTTTTTGCCTCATCATTCCTGGAACAAGCCCCACCCCCTGCTTGCCTCCGCCTTCTTCCTCTTCTCAGGCTCAGGCGGGTACACTGTGAAAGAACGAAATACCCCGGGATGTCCAGTCTGTCCTCAGACTGAAGGGCAAGCCCAGAGCCCCTAAGAACTCCTGAGAGGTAGATATTCAACTTTCTCTTTGCTTTGTTAGACAGAGGGGCTTGTTTCCTCCGATGCGTTTTCAGAGCCCATCCTGTGAACCGCTTGGTGTCTGGGCTTGCTGGGTGTTTTGGTGTGTGATTGAGCTGAGCGACTGTGTGGTGATTCTGGGGGGCTTGTTTAAGATACACTGGTCTGAAAACCTTGCATACGGCAAGGTCTCCTCCTCGGCGTAGTGACCTGTTGTGAGGGAGCGCTGAGACTTAATAATGATTTTTAAAAATGATTGACTTTATTTTAATTCATTTGTGTGGGTATGTGCACATGAGGGCAGGTGCTTTGGGAGGATCCCTTGGAATTATAGGCAGTTGTGAGACACTGGAGTGGGTGCTGGGAAATGAACTCAGGTCCTTTGGAGGAGCATCAAGTGCTCTTAACCACTGGGCCATCTCTCTCTTCCTCCCTTCCTCCCTTTCCATTCATCCTTCCCTTCCCTCTCTTTTCCTCTCTCCCTCCATCCTTCCCTCCCTTTCCCTTCCTCCCTCCTTTCCTTTTTTGTTTGTTTGTTTGTTTGTTTTTTCAACACAGGGTTTTTCTGCGTAACAGCCCTGGACTCGCTCTGTAGAACCAGGCTGGCCTGGAATCCACAGAGATCCACCTGCCTCTGCCTCCCTGAGTGCTGGGATTGAAGGTATGCACCACCATGCCCGGCTTTCTTTCTTTCCTTCCTTCCTTTTTCCCTCCCTTTTCTCCTTTAGATTTGTTTTTATTCTGTTTGTGTGTGTGTGAGTGCATGTCTTGTGTGGCAGTGCCTGTGGAGGCGGGAGGACAGCTTCTTCTCCCTTGATGCTCAGTTACAGGTGGTTGTAAGCCACTGGGCACCGGTACTGGGAACCTAACCAGGATCCTGGAAGAGAAACCAGTTTTTTTTTTTTTTTTTTTCTTCTGAAGCTTCCCCTAGTTGCATCTGCTTTCACTTTCATAGCCTATTGTCACAGGCAAAGCCCATGGACTTCGTTTGCCTAAAAGATAGGAGGTGGGGGTGAGTGGGGAGAGGGGGGCTTGGGGATGGTGGGGTGGGGGGGGCTGGAGGGTGGCTTTCAGATTAAAACAGCCAACTATTAAGAAGCCATATTTGATGAAAAGAGTGAACAGCCCGGATTGGGAGAGCACTTCAAACAGAAGCGCTAACTGGATTGTGGAGGAGTGAATCATGGGTGTGTAAATGCAGAACGGGCTGTGGTGTACGCATGGGTGTGTGTGCACTGAGGAGTCTAGTCTGTAGCCAGGCATGGTGCCTCAGACTCGTAGCCCCGGCCCTCGGCAGCAGGAGGATCATTAGAAGGTTGAGGTTAGCCTAGTCTGCGTGTCAAGTTCCAGGTGGAGCTCCCTAGGGTGACTGTGTAGGTGTGCATTTGGTGGTTCCTGAGGAGGCCACACTCTAGGAGCTGGAGTTCCAGGGGGTTGTCGGGAGCCAACCGCTGTGGGTGCTGTGAATAAACGTAACACAGCTTCTGTGAAAGCAGTGTATGCTCTTAACCACCGAGCCTTCTCTCCAGCCCTCCCCCCCCTTTTAATACAACTTAAAAAAAGAATTTATTTATTTGTTTGTTTATTTGTGATGTATGTAGTGTTCTGCCTGCATGTACACCCGAATGCCAGAAAAGGGCATCAGCTCTCGTTATAGACGGTTGTGAACCACCATATGTGGATGATGGGAATTGAACTCAGGATCTAGCAGCCAGTGCTTTTAAACTCTGAGCCATTTCTCCAGCAATTCTATAACTTTTTAAAAGCAGAAAATACTTGATAATATTTTAATTCCATGATAGCTTGTAGGCATAACAAATCAAATGAGTTTGTGAAAAAGGATGTTTTTCTCTCGGGTGTGTAGAAGTGAAGCTGTCGAATTTGAGATTTTGCTATTTACATCCAGTTATTCTGTATGGCATTGTACCTGGAGTAAACAAATGGAGCCCTGTTTCCGTGAGCAGGTGATGCCTGCGGGACCCCTGGCTGGGTTCAATGAATATACCTACAGTCACATGTCCAGGATTGCCCAGAGTTCCAGTGATTGCTGGGAAGCATGATTCGCTGGTGCAGTGACCTCATCTTTTAAACAATAGCTGTGGATTAAGTGATCAGAGGAAAAGCAGGCCCCAGCTCCTCAGCCCTTTACAGCCTGTGGTTCCGTATTTTTTTTTTTTTAAACCTAATAACAGACATTAGCAGTGGTAATTGCATGTGCTTCTTAATAGGAAGACTTTAGCCTGAGGTGTTCTTGAGTCCATTTGTCTGTTGCCCAGGGACTGTGGAAGCAGGTTCCGCTGTCAGCTCCTGTTTTCTGTGTGAGGCTCCTGGGCAGGTAGAAGTGAAGCAGGTGGCCCAGGGTCTCTGAGCAGGAGTTCAGGGGGCGGTGGCTGAGTAGACCTCAGACTTGCCCGTCCACAGTCAGCAGTGCTGTGAGGGTTTGTACTTTGAGATTTGCTTTGGGGTGCCAGCGTATGGTGAACACTGGGTCCCTCGGCTCTGGGGTGACTTCTGAGCAGTGTTTTTCACTACTACCATTTTGTCAATGTAATGTGACTGGGAGTCCGTTTTGTGACACTAAGGAAGCGAGCAGAGATTCCTGAATACATGAGGATGGAGAGAAGCTGTGTTCTTTGGACTTTATAGGTTAGTGGGAGACAGGTTGTAATTCAGTGTTTACCAGGTAAGGCTAAAAATATTGTGATTAGACCTCCCACAAGAGGCTATACAACGGAAATATATCTCGGAATTTAAAAAAATTGCATCTTAAAGTTTGGGCATGGTGATGCGCCCCTTTCATCCCAGCAGTTGGGAGGCAGAGGCAGGTTAGGGTGAGTTTGAGGCCAGCCTGGTCTACATAGCAAGTTCCAGTACAGCCAGGAGTACGCAGAGAGAAGCTTTTCCAACAACAGCAAAATTGCATTTTATTTCTTTTTGTTTGGAGGGGCAGTGCGCACACCACAGCGTACATGTGGCGGTGAGAACACACGAGTAGGAGTTCTCTCCTGGAGATTGGACCCCGGTTCAGTCTCCCCACCATCGGAACCTCCTTGTTGGGAAGGCTCCACTGGGTTAGTGGGCAGAACCAGCAGCCTGAGGGTGAATAGTGCAAAACAGAGGTTTACAGAGGGTTAGACGGCTATGGATGAACTGGTGACCTTGAAGGAGCCACTCTGAGCGGTTGAGAGCGGTTGAGAGAGGTGAGAGAGAGTGCTCATGGGCGCGCTCAGTACAGTGCTGACCGATGTCTGTAAGCTGCAGCTGCTTTTGCTCTTGTGGGCATTTTTTATTGGTTTTCCTAGGAGAGAGTGTCAGATCCCCCTGACTGGACTTCACAGAGTAATTGTGAGCTGCCACGTGAGTGCTTGGATCAAACGTGGGTCTCCTGGAACAGGGGAAAGTGTTTTAACCACTGAGCCATCTTGCCAGCCACTAACTTACAGAAGTAACGTTGGCGTTTGAAAGTTTTGATACTCTAGGAGGGTATAATTCCCTGGTTCTGTTGACACTGGCACACATCCTGCTGTATGCATACATTTGCATCTTTGCATATGTAAGCGTCTGAGTGTATATATCACGTTATGAGTCCTCTTCTCACAACTGAGTCTTTCCTTTTCCTCCCCGGATCATGTAACCCGTGACAGCAACCGAGCAGTGAAGGAGACATCTATTCTTGGCTAAGAATAGGAGGTGTGGGCTAGAGACCCCAACATCAGTCTGTCCACCTTTGAGGGCAACGAGGGGGATGAATTGGCTAACAAAGGGGAGGGCATCATATCTTTTCCAGAGGTGGGGTAAAGATTTTCTGGACCTTTCTCTCCTTCCTTCCTTCCTTCCTTCCTTCCTTCCTTCCTTCCTTCCTTCCTTCCTTCCTTCCTTCCTT